ATACAATTTCAGAAATGAATGCGTTTAGTGTACGAGAACTTCCGTCCTGGTGCAAAAAACCGATCATTATCGGTTGATCGGTTCTAAGAGCGTAACGGTTCCTAAAGAATAGTCGGAAGAATAGTCTAAAGAATAGTGTAAAAGGTGAAACGCTCAATTTATGAATTTCACTTTCCCTGCTGCTGCTGTAGGTATTTTTCGGGAAAACTTCCAACCTGAAAGAAAAATTTTTATTTACGATTCTAGTTTTCGCGCTTTCATGCAAATGAGAGGGAGTCGCTGAAATTTGCAGTTACTCAATTTCAAAAGATAAACCTGGTACGAGGACGTAAGAGGCATAATTTTTCTGAGCATCGAATCTCACGTGAAAAACGATTGCTTTACGCATGTCGACATTTTGTTTTTCCAAAGTCTGAACCATGACTTTTATTTTTCTATGTATTTTCAGGGTCTTGAATAAATGCAATTCGCGTACAAAGTAAATGCGAAAATCGACTTCAGATTCACTCCGGTTACGGGAAAATTGTGACCCTGGTGCAGTATTTCATACGTTTATATCCCGGAAGACCCGTTCTTTATTGAGTAGATATTTCTCACTTTACAGTGTTGATTTAGTTGCATTTGTGAAGAAAGTCATCACCGAATTCAAATTTTTGCACGGATTGTCCACCGCCTTTGCGGGGGATCTCTGTGAAATCAGGAAAAAATGAAAACAATTTGTAGAACTCGGAATCAGCATAATGGCTGCCGATTTCTTTTTTTTTTTTCGTGTTGCAAGGGTGATGATGAAACGCTTGCGTTTACCGTATTTTAAAACAGCAAAAAAAGGGTCGACTTTCGCCGATCAGTTTTCACCTGAACATTTCCTCATGGGTATCGTTCATCGCACGCGGCGACGTGTGACCGAGTGGGGGAGTGCGAAAGAGCCGGAAAATATTTCCGCTTCCTTGTGACCAACGTGTAGTATTGTAGTCTGGCATTGTGGAGAAACGACGGAATTCGGTGTCGCGAGCATTCACGTATTTTCTTTTATTTTTATTTCATTTATTCGTGTTTTTTTTTTCTTCTTTTTTTTTTCTCCTTACACAAGCTCGATCTGTAGCTTTGCCTTATATAGTGAGTGAGCGAGGTGATACGGTTTCTTACCCTCGGCGTGACGAATGTCCCATGACCGAGAAGAATATCGGGGGAAACGAAAGTGATGTTCGGAACGTTATTCGGGGTTTTTTTTTCAGATTGGTTTTACTTGGTATTTAGTTTCTCTGCGAATATCGTGTTTCTGCTATTTCGCAAACCTCGCGTATTGCGGGATTATTATTATTTTTTTCATTGGGAGAGAAAGGCTGCTTCCGTTTCTGATTTGGAGATTTTGCAAACGTTATTCGAAACCAACTTCATATCCCGCTTTTGCAATCGAAGGGCAACTCGGAAAACTGGAAAATGATGTTGCCCAACATGTTCTTACTTCTAATCGATTCCAATTTACTCTGATGTTTATACAGGTGAACCTTGATAAGTCGAACCTCTGTAAGTCAAATTCCTCCCTGAGTCAAATTTTTTTCAAGTCCCTGTCCGAATTCTTTTAAAATCAATGCATCAAAAACCTCCCTAACTCGAATTCTTTTTTTCTAAAACCTCTGTAAGTCAAATTTTCTGAGGCCTTCTGGTTTTTTTTTTGTGAAATATGAGAGAGAAAATGATTGAAACAAATAATTTGATGCATCTTGGAAGGAATGAGAAGAAAAATATAGCAAATGAACCCCTGCCTCCAAGTTCAGCACAGTAAAAACTCATCAAGAAGCAAGTTTAGGCCTAGAATCTCCTCATTTTCAATTTCCTGCAATTTTTTTTACTAATCCTCACAGCAAGAATTATTTTTCCTTATTTCAAAACCTGCAAAAATCAAAACCTCCCTGAGTCGAATTTTTCCCTGGTCCCTAGAAATTCTACTTACAGAGGTTCAACTGTAATAACCAACATGTTCTAAATTTATATATTTTAAATCATGGAAAAATCGAAAAGAAACGCCGAGAAGGGCATATTTTATGCTAATTGCATCAGATTACAGATTTGTTTGTTCCCTTGACTGTGTTTTGGTCGGGCCAAATCCGTTCGCCGAATTTTCTGCAAGACGCATTCTCATCGGCTCTGACTTAACGATGCAAATTGAAGTGATCAATTATATTCGAAGTACAACAAAAGAATAGTCATCAAAATTTATCAACGAATTTTCGAGAAGGTATTTATATTTTTCGTTGGAAGACGAGTGTTAACTACTCTTTTATCAATTGGTTGGAAGTTTGTAATAACGGAAGTAAATCTAGAAGATTGCGGTATTATTCCAACTCGTTTTTGTATTTGTTTGGAATTTCAGAACTCACGAAAAGTGAAGATAACTTGTGGTATGAAGGAATAGCACCAATATTTTGTAGATTGTTGCTGGCACTCGCAGACCGAGTGCCAGTGTTGCCATTCTACAACACTTGGAGAAGTTTTGTCATTCTACAGTAACTGGTATTTTTGTTCGTTTGGATATTTTACACACACACACACACACACACACACACAGACATATACAAGAGACTTCGGAAAAGGTTTCAACTTCAGATCCTTGTCAGTCTTCGTGATACCTTTTGAGCCCAATGGTAAATGTCTCACTTTGTCGGCATTCGAATCTCGACTTGGTCATGCCTCAGTGGTTTCTTTTCGCTTCCTTCAAGAACCCTTCTGTGTTCTTGAGAGTGAATCTGTGCCATTCGCGAGGCCGTCGGAAGACAGAGATATATTTTGAGAGAGGAAAGAAATAAAACTAATAAAAAATAAAAAGTTTAAAATCTCGTCATACTCGTCGTCGCCACTAGAAAAGAACAAGGGCGACCATTAGTAAAGGTGTAGAGTAAGGTTTGTTCCGCCGTTTCGGATCTCGCATCTCTTTTCAGATCTGCCATCTCGCGTCTCTTTCAAAATGCGAGAGGGTTGGAATTGAAACCGTGGGAACCCGGGCTGCGGTTTGCATCCGGCTTCTCAGTTGGGGTTTCTGGACATCATTTTTTTTTCTTTGTGTGCCTCTGATAACGACGTGGTTTGAGGAGCTGATCATCATGCACTGGGGGTTTTTTTTTTCTTTCTACTGATAGCATGCATATTTGAAAGTGTTTATAAAGGCATCAGCGAGAAGCTTTCATGCATTTCTCCAACCCCACATTGTCTGACCACTGACTAGCGACAAGTGATGCGCAAAACCGAGAGTAGTTCTTGTTTTTCCTCGATGCTAATTCAAACTTTTTTCCGCGTCAAGCTCTATTTTACATGGCTTCAATAAGAGAGCGAGTACCGTGCGAAGAGTGTGAATTGGCTGTTATTAGAAAGGAAGAATCTGCCTTTTCAGTATTCTCCGAAACATTTTAAAACTTCGTTTTGAATTGCTTGGCTCCGATGGAGATGAAAAAATACCGATGAATACTCGAGTGATCCGGTACGCGCAGGAAATTTTTCTTCAACACAGCCGGGGCCAAAAGTCGATATTTGTCAAACTGACAAGGCATTCATTCTTTCATCAGGCTGATTTCCAAATTTTCAAGAATTGTGCGATGAAATCCTTCAATTGCCGTCTGAACCTCTCGAATTACTTGCCATTTTTCATGCAATTTCATGATCGCTACATAAATCACAGAGGACACTGGTAAACTCTCGCGGCAGCGAAATCCGAGGGACCGGAAAAAAATTCGTCGTAAAGAAAATATTGTAGAAAAACCCAATAACATGGGGAGAGAACCCAATTGTTCCACACAAAAAAAGCGTTATACAGAGAAAATCGTTGTAGACAAAATCTATATTGAGAGAGTCTACCTGTACAAAATATCATAACTCAAAACTTGTCATAATATCCGGCTGAGATTTAAGGTTTCATCAGCTGTCAGTTTTTTTATGTACCGTATATAAACTATATATATACAGTGGCGCATCAGACAGCAAAACTAATTTGTTTCAAGAAACGGTTTGTTGAAGGGACGCATTTTCACAGACGAATATAGAGATGAAAAATATACGCTTACATCCGAAACTAAGATTCCGTAGCATTTTTTAACGGAACCATCATTCTTGGGGCCTATCATCACGTCACTTGATTTCATTGGGATACGGAAAACACTGACAATTACGCAAAAGCAGGACTAATTATGAAAAGCATAAGACATTTTATATTTCCAAAAATATTAGAAATGTGCAAGTTATTACGGTATTCTTATTCTGTAAATCCAACGCTGTTGTGAGCAGTCAGTTGTTGTTGAGGATGTGGGTTCCTTGTCTGGAATACCATCTTTAAAATGAGTCATCTTCTGAAGAAACGCGTGTTCGTTGTGTCAGGCTCCATTGTGTGAACAGAAGGGCCATTTCAAAACTGAGGCATAATAAAAGATTACTAAAATTGAGCGAACAAAATGGCTAAACGAGATCTCCAGCCAAGACCAGGTTAATGTGCTTTCACTTGACCTGTAAAACCGTATATCTCATCTTCAGAACTGCGTGTGTATTTGTGTGGACACTGTGGAGTAAAAACAATAATTTTCTGCTGCCTCAAATCGAGGGAATGCCAAAAATGTTGGCTGAATCGACGCCTATGATGAGTGACTGCTTGCCATGATTATTGGAATTCTGTCGAAAAAAAAACGTACAAATAACTTCAGGCATTGGAGAAAGTCGCGTGACTCGTGAAATTTGAATAATTCCTGCCGCTTTTCGATCTCCAGCAATGGGCCTGAAATTCGAAGCCGAACGATTTTCATTCATTTCTCGACATATATTTAAAGAAGTTAATTTCGGAGAAGAGATCAGGGCCGTCATGCACTGTTAACTCGATCTGAATCTGCGCCGTCGTTAGAGAAAGATGGAGGATGGCCACCCTGAGGCGATGCCTATTTTATTCAGGAATTCTTTTTTTTATCTGCTTGAATATCTAAAGGGGGGCAAAAAGTGCATCCCTTTTTTTGGTTCTCAACGAGATGCGAGACGTATGTATTTTCCTTTGAAAGCTTTCGTGCCGTAGGCCCTGTATGTGATGATCGAGGCGGAGTTGATGACCGTAGGGAGTCCGGGCTTGAATACGTGGGTTCCGTTACGTTGGGGATAATTTGCCTCGAGATTATCCCTTCGGCGTCAGAGTAATGTCATCCATCATTTCGGTTGAGCTCCTGATTCTAAGATTATTCTTGGAAAAACCGGCGAAGAATTAATAATGGGGAAATGTATAATACAGTATATCAGGGGGGGATCCAGTTGCAATTCGCTCATCCCCGGAAGTGCGCTTTTTGGGTGAGCGATTAATTTCACTCACCGATTTTCCAGTCTTATCGCTGAAGGATGTTGACATCTCGTAGTGTTGACCGTAAATTTTTTACAGAGATTTACTGTACTTACGTCAAAAGTGGGTAACTTCGTTCTCGGGAATCAATACTCAGCGTTTGGGAATGAAAATAAATGACAGTTTATTAGTACTTTTACTACTCTGTATCCCCGGGTAGCTGAGTAAAATACTGTACCGTACAGAGTACGTAATCGATGATCGTCTTGTCCGCTATTTGACCTCCATTTCGGATGCTTCTTATTCAACGAATGCGAAGATTGTGCTATCTGAAGCTCGCTTGGTTTCGATTTTAGATTGAGAAACCCTAGAATTATTCCCAGCATTTTTTTTTTGCAATTTGGGAAAAAAGTGAAGCGTCGTTTTTTTTAGAAATATTTGTCTGAATGTATGATCGAACAAAGATCCAGCCCTCTTTTTTTGTCGATTAATGCCAGTTGCAGTTAAAGTTGTCTTTTCATTTCATCGGGAGGCAACACAATTCCTACCTGCCTCTGGTTTGTCTGTGAAGTGCTGAAGTAGTATTTCCCAATGTGAGAGCGATATGATTTTTTTTTCATGTACAGTATGTTGAACGGGGATCATCCATGTATTCGGGAAAATAAAATTTGACTCAACGAGAGTAGATTACAATGAATCCTGCATACGGCAATGAACGACCCGCAAAACTGAAAATCCCTGTAACGAAAAGGGAATTATTCCCAGAAATTCTGTGGAGAGTTGTGTTGAGCGTTGTGTTGTTCAGAATTGATTTTTGTGTGTCAAACTTTTGTGGGACAAGAATCGAAATACATTCCTCTGAATTAAACTAGGGAAACCAAAAAAGGATTCCCCGGCCTTGTCCCAGGCTGATTCTGCTTTTTATTTCCACATTTTTGAACTTTACTTTGTAAATCAATTTACTGATCCACTTGCAAAATTCCATAAATTTATGTTAAGGTGAGTTCTTCCTCAACATAAAAGGAAACCTGATTGACTTGCAGAACAAAGAAATGCCTACATTTTAACGAGTTTTTGGTTAAAACTTTAAATGAAAAAAAGGCGAAATAACGGCATAGTTTTTTCAATGTTGTTAAATTTGGAAAGTTCAGAGGGCAGACTTGACGGGTTCACTGAAATGTAATACGGTACTCCACTAGGAGTTCGAAATCGTATGCTGAAAACCGAGGAAATTACAGTTTTCAGAATTTATTATGGTGTTTTAGTGGGTGCCTGGAACGAATTAAATCGTTTATGCTTCATCATTCAAATTTAAGGGAAATTGAGTTTATCATAACTAAATTTCCAACGAAACGAACCCAGGAATGGATTATTTTCGTTTTGCGGAGACCCCCTGTACTGTATTGTGCAGTCCATATTACCCTGCATCCATTTGCAGTCAGCATCCCGTGAACTCGATCATCTTCCATACAACGTTTCTAATGATTTGTTTTTCCTTTTCTCTCCTTTTTTTTCTTCAAAAAAACAATAAAGGTGCCGATCTCAAGCATTGGTGGGTTGGGTTCAGCTGGGAGTTCTGCTCAGAATGGAACCGGAAAACCGCACTTTGTTGCCGTTACAACCCTTGAAGACGCGCAAGCCGTGAGATGCGCGGAATTCCACCCCGATGGGAAAGTCTATGCTGTGGGTTCCAACTCCAAAACGTTGAGGGTTTGCGCTTACCCGAAGCTGCTCGATTTACGGTGAGTTTAGCTGATGGTTGAATCCTGACGAAGAAATTCTCCGTTGAAAAGTTATGATTGATTGGGTGATGGATGGATCGACGGAAAATTTTTTGTTTTGTTTTTGATCCGTTTCTCTTGTTGTCCTTCGTTATATCGATGTCTCAAGAATTGGAGTGTTTGATTGAGTACATTTCTGGACGTTCCGAAAAAAAAGGCGAGGTGCTTCAGACGTCGTTCTTTATGAGTACAGTGCAGTACTTTCTGCTTGTCAATTCTTGCAACATTGCAATAATACGCAGGAGATAGAAAGCATTTACTATTACTAATCCAAATGTTCCTGCGATGATGCAATTTTAAGTTTCCACGTTTTTTGAACTTGCACATTGTACATTTGACACAACGATAAAAAACCGAAGTGATTTTTGCACTAGGATTTCATTTCCCTTTTTATACGTTTCATAAATCACGTTAAATTTATTTTCTTATCCGTTATCTTCGTAGTGCTATGTGCATTTGGTCATCTGTCAATAATAAAAAAAACAATCGTTTAGTGAGATCAGTTAGGTTTGTTATTCAGAAACCTACTGATGTTGAACAAGAGTTACCTTATACACGAGGTTAGTTTTTGGTGCATGTTCGTTATTTATTTGATGAGGCTAGTTCAGTAGATGGAGTACGTTAATCAGTGTTTGGCTTTTAATTGGCATGTGTTAGACCAAGTTAATTCAGTGAAAGGCGAGGTTAGTTGTACAGTATCCTGAAATTAGGTTAGTTTGGTTTGAGATTTTATACTGCAGGCACAAGTTGACAACTCTTGTCCTGCTCTTGGCTAAATTCCTATTTTTCAGGGAAATTATAATTAAGAAGCGGAACAAGAGGAAACCCGATGCTTTAGCAAAGAACCGTAATACAGTACAGTAAAGCACTGTATTTATGCGAGTACCACTTGCAGAAAAAAAACAGGAGCTAAAGAAATGAGGTGGGCGTCATTGTCGGAAAAATTGTCTAAGTTCTTTTTTTTAACTTCCAACTTTTTTACACTTTAGAAAGGTTTTTCGGAGTTTTCTTCTTGAATAATTTCCTGTTCTGATTAAGACAAAATATCAACATTGAAGTAAACTTAGAATTGGGGTTGTAATTGAATTTTTTACCGCATATCGATTTAAAAAAATGAATTTTCGGAATTGAAAACTGATGTGCGCCTCTTGCTCTTGGGCAGGTGGTACTCGAGTAAACACGGTTCTGTATTTTGCAATTTCATTCTGTATTTTGAAAATGATGTATATTCTGTATGTGTTTTTTCTCCCCGTTGCCTCACTGGACCCTTTTTCAGTTCAAATAAGTGCTCGTGGATGTCTCATTTAAAATCTGGTCTTGTTCTCAGGCTTTCCAGGTTTCCAGTTCAAGTGTCTGTCAGATGATTCGAATTTTTATTTTTCTTTCCCCTTATTCTCAGGGAAGAGCATGTGGCGTACCAACCAACTGTCCTGTTCAAGCGCACTAAGCACCACAAGGGAAGCATTTACTGTCTGGCCTGGAGCCCGATGGGTGACCTGATTGCGACTGGTTCGAACGACAAGACGGTGAAACTCATGCGTTTCAACGCGGACAACTGCAATATCGAAGGTTCGTCTTGAACCGTTTTCTGTTGTGCCCCTCGGGCAAGTTTTCATTTGAATCGATGAGGACAGTTCAATCACGAACTGAATCTGCAGTACTTTCTTTTGACTCGCTGTCAACTAATGCATTTTATTTTATGCTCTCGATGTATAGTGAAGGTCGAATTTTTTTAAAAGGTGAAGACGTGATTGGTGACATATAGAGATGTGGGGAAATTTAAACTAGGAATGAAATTTAAACCTTGATACATTTCTTCGACGTTGAAGCGAAACTTCCTGGGGTGAAACTGACGTCAATATTCTTCGAATATTTTTAAAATTGTAGATTAGAAGGAAGTGCGTTGAGGAATTCCTGTTTTACGTCCGTTTGTCTTCATGCTCTTGATTGAACCGAAAATCGACGCGAAAATCTCTTTAAAAAAAAAAAACGAAGAATGTCACTAATTTTCCATTTGCGCACTTCACCTTCATCTTGGAGCACTGGGTGATTAGGACTAACGTTGTAGTTAGTGTCGCAGTAATTGACCCTAAAACTGGCGTCCTTATTTGTTTCAAGGGTTTTCTCTTGGTGATTGTAAATTCGTAGCTTTCATGGTGATGAAACTAGAAAAGCTTTTTCGGGCAGCTCTCGTTTTCACAGCCGTTTGGTGATCTGGGTCGACGTCGAGGTGGTTTCTTTAACAAAAGGAGAGGACAATGAAAAGCGACCTCCGCCTTTTCGCATCTCGTTCATGATGTTGATCCGACTCTTTGTTTCTTGCTTGCGTTCTTTTCTCTAGTTGAAAGAAAAAGCTTGTGATCTGAATTGGACAAATGGGCGTTTTACCGAGAGAGTTTTTTAAAGATTATATTTTGGTACTGTAGTTCATATTTTCGATCCTTTTTTTTTTAAATCCCAGAAACGTTGGATTTAGTTCGCTTGAGAAGAGCCAGATTTTCCAAACGTCGTCGTTGCGCAGGCTTGTCTTCAGATTCTGTTAGCTCGGAATTCTTTGTACGTTTTTTTTTGTCGAATTGGTGAATGTAAAATGAGAACAATTAGAAAAGTCAAAATTCAGCTTCCCTTTTAAATTTCCTTGCACGCTTCATGGGATCAAACTTTTTTCACTTGATTTCATTCCTCTGGAAATTGATCGAATCAATAAGCGAAAAGAAAAGAAAAAAAAATCATTCAAAAATGCAAAGGGAAGGTTTAAAAAATTGCGCTCAACTGAGTGTGTTTAAAATTTGACTGGAACGCCACATTTTGCCGCTAACTGAACTCTTTTTCCATAATATGCGATAACCTAGTGAAATCCCTGAAAAAAAGCATTTTATTTAAAAATTGAGAATAGCATTCAAATAATGAACTTGAAACTTCTTTATTGATACAGTTCTATATTCGCCTTCGTACAAATATCAGAAACAAATGGTTTAAGAAAGAAATTATCTCTCTGACATTGAATGAAGTTTTTGCAGATTATTCATTCAAGACACATCTGCCTTTCCATTCCAGCCATAAAATAAAATATTTCCCTGCTTTCCATGGATACCGTTAACTTTTCTCCTGGCGCACGTGGCTCTGGTTCTGATTAAAACTTTAATTTTAAATATTTTTCTGAAACAAAGAAGCTAGAATTCTTCAGTTTTATCATGATATTATCTTTTCTTTCAAAATGACTGTTCACCATGCTTCTTATTGTCCAACAGTAAAAAAGTAGCTGTGCACATAAAAGAAAACCGAGAAATACCAATATTATTTTCGAATGGTTTGCAATGATTGACGGGAAGGGTACTCAACCGTACAGCTCCTCTAAAAACGTTGAATGTAATTTGAACCGGGTAATGGGGCAGCTGAAGGATCATTGATACGCACGTGGCGTGCTAATTCAGTGAGTTGATTTTTTTTTCTCTGTTTTTTGCAGGTCAAGAGGTAGAGCTGACGATGCATGACGGGACGGTGCGGGACCTGTGCTTCATCGAGGACATGAGCAACAAGAGCTCGCTTCTGGTGAGCGGCGGTGCCGGGGACTGCAAAATCTACGTGACAGATTGCGCCACTGGCACGCCGTTCCAGGCACTCAGCGGTCATTCTGGTACGTCCTTCTTTTTTTTATGGCGTATGCTTTTGGTTTTTTTTCTTCCTTTTTTATTGTCCTTTCTTCTGGGAATCCCCCGAGACCCGTTACGGTACTGGGTACTTTCTCCAAGGCGGCTGTGGGCAATCTACGAGATATATCCTCCCTCCGGGCACCGTCTTCATGTCCGGCACCCGAAGCAGCGCCGTGACTTTCATCTCCCGATCATGTGTTGTTTTCTGTTCTTACTGTTTTTTGTGCTTGTTGAGCCACTTTTCTGAAGTGCTTCGGTTTCCTAAATGGGACTGGGAATGCTTCTCGTCATGATGGAGTGACTTTTCAATATGAGTGCAGCAGAATTAGCAGGAAGATGAACGAACAATGAAACTGCGAATTTGGATGGCGTCTGTAAACTTCTCCGAGTAGGAAATTTTGCATTGGTATGCAATGTTTAGTTTGTGAGTCACTGAGCTCTCGAAAACGGTGCGATTAATAGTTTACTACGCAGGCTTTTTCTTTGTTTGCTTGTAGTCGCAAGTAACCATAGAAAGAAAGACTTCGCTTCAGATTAATATTTTTATGAGTAGACAGAATGCTAAACTAGGAGGAAAGGGTTCATTTTCCCGGTTAATGTTCCACTTTGGAAGCACATCAAGTTACATCATTATAGGTTTATTGCTTTTCTCCTTCCTGGGTGACGAAAATGATAGCCAAAAGGTCTTTGGAATATTCAAGTTGTGGACGTTCAAGGTAGAAAACGTTTGAGTTGGGAAGGTGTTCAATGTATTGTTTCTGACGGAATTCAGACAAGGGACTTCATAAAAAAATGTCGACGTACGGCGATTTTAGTTTCTAATCCGAATGTTCAATACCTAAGCTTGACCAGCTTCTCCTTTGGTTGCCATGCGAAACAGACGTAATGAGTAATTTTGAAAATTCCGAGCCTTCGACGTAAATTTGGACTGCCGTGCTTCGAATCATGTGTCCCGAATAGATTTAGAATGTAGCCGCTGTGGATGCTTCCGCTAAACTGCAAGTACTGACCGAACTGAGTGGCATCATTGACAAGCCTTGTTGTTCGAAATGCTGTTCTAATAATCCTATGAAATTAAGAGATTGGTCCTTGAAAGGTTTTTTTCCCCCTGAATCTGAATCTCGGAAGTTCTGGGGTGGTTTTGTATTCGAAGTTTGAATTTGATGTCCTCCGTTTTTTTACGGTTCACGGGGAAAAATGGCGAAGTACCTGTGCTTTCTTTCGGTGATGGTAGTTGAATGTCAAAATCTGCGTTTGTGAAGGAATGTGTGCCAATTCGTGCCTTATGTTCTTTTCCAGGCCACGTTTTGGCTTTGTATACGTGGGGAGGTGCGATGTTCGTTAGTGGATCACACGACAGAACAATTCGATTCTGGGATCTTCGAACGAGAGGCTGCGTTAATTCCGTCACTCCGCAGACGATGACTCCTGGAACGAAGGTACGCAGGAAAAATAAACAAATCGAAGACGTCCTTAGTTTTTTTTTCCTCTGAAGAAATTCCATTGACTTGATTCTTTTATTGCAGGGAAATCCTGTTGCATCCCTGAGCGTGGATCCTTCTGGTCGTTTGTTGGTGTCTGGACACGAAGATGCTTCGTGTGTTTTGTTCGACATTCGGGGGAACCGAGTGATTCAGGCATTCAAGCCGCATTCTTCCGACATTCGTTCAATTCGGTTCTCGCCGAATGCCTACTATCTGCTCACTGGAGGTTACGACAACAAACTGGTGCTCACTGACCTGCAAGGTAATTTATTGCGACTAAGGAATTATTTTTTTTCAATTATAATGCAGTTTAGTGGCGTTCAGACGGACAGTATTTTCACAGATAATAATTATATAATATTAATCTTTTTTTTCGACGTTAATGTGTCGGTTCCCTCTGCCATTGTCAGCGTTTTAAAATGAGCTGTTCGATTTCAGATAAAAACCAAGAATTTGGTCTTTCAAATTCTCGAAAGGAATTGCAGGGTCATATTTGAAGAATGATTTTTCAACATTAATTATGCCGGGTATCTGTCTTGAGCATAATGCGTGACTTCCAAATAACATTTCATGAATTATTGCCCTGTACTAATTGTGTTGAGCACAATTTCTTGAAATGGTTAGGGACGCTTGGTCGTGAGGAAACTGTTCACTGAATTGGACATGGGTTGACAATGTTTTTTATTTTACTTTTGTTCCAATGTGACATTTTGGAGTTGTATAGAGTTGTTCATAATCTCGTGCCCGAAGAGTTGAGTTTCAACTTTCATAGACGATGTTCTGTTTCTGAGCGATGCGATGAAATGGGCAAATTATTCTGGAGAGTCGCAAAAATGATTTCCGGTTCGTTTCGCTTCAATGCTCTACGTCCCCGACTCCGTAATTTTCTCTTGTCAAACTCATCACGCAAGTGTCACGTTCATTTTACTGCGTTCTTTCAACTCGGGAAGGTTCTACGAAGTTGAATCAGATTAAGTGGGATGAGCTGAAAATGTCGTTTTCGGTCAGGTTAGGTTCGTGATACGGGCGACACCTACCTAACGTTCTGGGAAGCAGTCGGGCGTAGAAATACTGTACTGTACTTCATCAGTGTGTTGAAATTGTAATCTGATAATGGTTGCGTCGAGTTCGGGTATATTCGTTCCCTGATATTTGGTGTGAAAGCGTTGAAAGGTAAAATATTGAATGTGTTTTTTTCTTGATTATTTAGGGGATCTAACCATGCCTCTGCCGAGCATTGTTGTTGCTGAGCACCAAGACAAAGTGATATCTGGCCGATGGCACCCAACCGACTTCTCATTCGTTTCCACTTCGGCCGACAAAACGTCCACACTTTGGGCCCTGCCTCCGGCGTAGACGATTTGATGGAAAGGGAATCATCTTATTCTCTGCCTCGACTGACTAAATCTTCATCTTTCTTTGAAGATGAAAAAAAGGTGGAAAGGTTCTGAATTGTTGTAGAGACCGGGTTGGGTCCGTTTCGTGTTGTGGGTGTCCTGAGGACGACGAGAAGAGGCTGTAACTGGCTCCTGGTCTTGAGCCGCGTTTTGAATTTTGTTTCCCGTGAGAAAAAAAGGAAATGTTCTTCGGTGTACATGGAGAAACATGTGCTGGCAATTTGCCGTGGCTTCTCACACTAAGCGTGCTTGAGACTCGTTGGGTGCATTTTTTCGTACTAGAATTTTTGCGCGGAACGGAGATTATTTTTGAGCCAAAATAGATGAAACTCTTGACAAGCTTGAAGAATGCACGAATGTGGCCAGCTGGAAGTTCTTCGGCGTATTTTATCTTCAAAGTTTATGTTTGGCTTCAGCTGGGACAAAAAGCTAAGACTCTAAGTTTCCGGGGGTTATAGAAGCCCTGTTTCAATTTTCCGTGTATCGACTTCATTCATTCCGTAAGAAATATTATGGATTATGTCATTCGCTCGTTGATCATGGATCCACGTGGAAGATGGTGGCGTGACTCATCTTTTTCTGAGCCGGGAACCGAACTTCTTTGCTCACCATGGATACTTTCGAGTGATTGTAATTTTCTTTTTCTTTCCTCGGGAAGCGTTACCCGAGATTTATTTCGAATGCTTTTTGTTTTCGTTGATTTGTTAACGAAACAAGTAACGAGATGTTATCGATGGTGGAATTCAAAGTATTCGCAGAGTAGATACTGACGGGCGATAAACAAAACAAAAACAAACAAAGAAGAGGGAGGAAAATTTAAGAGACCAGCTCACAGTGTCACGAATTTCCGTCGAAGCTGATTCGGAAAGTTGTTCCTTTTGCATTGGTATTCCTGGAGATCCCGAAGAACGATTGTTATCTGAAATCAGTTTTTTTTGTTTACCTTGTAACTAAGTGATCTTCGCGATTCGTGTTTCGAATCTTGGATTTTCCGCGTCTTAATTTGGGTTTCTCTCCCGAGTCGCGCCGTGGCTTGTAGACGGAAATCAGTTGGAAGCGAAAAACGAGATAATTTTTCTACTAAAATTGCGTTCCTGCTTTCATTTTTTTTTCACTGTGGATGACTTTTCGTTTCAGGATTTAGGTTCAGTGATCCTTGTTCTTCCAAATGATGAGGTTTTTCCTGGTGTGAAGTGGGGCTTCTTCTCGGTTGTTCTTGATCAGCTCTCTTGAAGATCAAAGAATTTTTCTTGCTTTGCTCACTTCGCGAAATTACATCAATCATAGTTGTTCTAATCTGTGAATTTTGTTAACATTGATCACATTTCATTCCCTCGATGATAATCATGTCGCGCTATGGGGGTTTGAGCAGCAGGCTGACATTTGATGCATTGATTTTGAACATTCAAAATTGGAAGCTGAGAAAATGATCAAGTTCCCAATTGCTGAGCAAAATTTTGACCTTGCAAAGAAATTCTTGGAAGAAAATAGCAATTTATTGTGGTTGTGGAGTGTACAAAAACATTTTCTTACATTGAAGCTGTACGTGGGACTCGGAAGAAAACTTCCGGAAGGTTGTGAAGCAATTCTAAACATGACTTTTGGGCATGGACGTGACAAACGGATACCGGTATTTTGCAGGAAATAAATTGTTGCATTCATATTTGTTGTACTATAACAAGATTTGCTGTTTTTGGAATTTTCTGCTTGAGGATTTGTTTTCTCACAGAAGACAGATTCTGCATTCTCGCAGAACAAAAAATAATAATACGAACTGTCACAAGTATAAGTGCGTAAGTGATTTATTTCGAATGATTTATTTCGAGTGATTTTTTTCGAAGTGATTTATTAAGTGGTTTAATTGATGATTCCAGATTATGAATAGCAGCTGTTTGGGTGTGAATAAATTACACAGGAACCAACGCAGCAAACATCAAGTGACGCACTCAAACTTTGAATGCGTGTGAGGAAAATGTCAGAGAAAAACATAATTTTTCATTTGTTTTTAAAAATGCCCAGGTGAAAAAAGGGT